AATAGCACTTAACAGGTCCATATCAGTTAAACCTGGTGAAACTTAGTCTTATCAAATAATAATTCTGCTGTAGGACCTTAGAGGCTGCATATTATGTTTCTAAAGTACAAGTCGTACCCCCCTATCCACAGAGGATGCATTCCAAGACCCCAGTGGATGCCCGAAACAGTGGGTTGTACCAAAATCTATATATACTATGTTTTTTTCTATATATATGTACATACCTATGATAACATTTAATTTATTAATTAGGCACAGTAAGACATTAATAACAATAATCATGATATAGAACAATTATAATGATATGCTGTAATAAAAGTTAGGTGAATGTGGTATCCTCTCTCAAAATATCTTACTGTACTATACTCAGTACAGAAATGATGTGAGATGATAACTGAGGAGACTGCTCTAGTGTATACAGTGTGGATGTGCTGGAGAAAGGGACAACTCACCATGCTCGGTAAACAGTATGGCACAAGATCTCATCACACTACTCAATATGGCATTCACTTTAAAATTACAATTTTTTTTTTTTTTTTTTTTTTGAGACAGAGTCTCACTCTGTCACTCAGGCTAGAGTGCAGTGGCACAATGATGGCTCTCCACAGTCTCAATTTCCCAGCTCAGGTGATCCTCCCACCTCAGCTTCCTGAGTAGCTGGGACTACAGGCACACCAATGTGCCCAGCTAACTTTTTGTATTTTTTGTACAGATGCGGTTTTGCCATGTTGCCCAGACTGATCTTGCACTCTTGGCTTCAAGTGATCTGCCCACCTCAGCCTCCCAAAGTGCTGGGATTACAGGCATAAGCCAATGCACCTGGCCCAAACTTTTAGATTATTTATTTCTGGAATTACCTATTGAAGTTTTCAGACTGTAGTTCGCTGCAGGTAACTGAAACTGAGAAAAGCAAAGCTGTGAGTAAGGGGAGAGGAGGGTACTGTTTTTAATTTTTCAGTAATATAGGCAGTAACATAAGGTAATGGAGAAAGAGGAATTAAAGCAGAGCCTGCCCCCCCAGAAAAAGAAATGAAGATGAAATAAAAGAAGGCAGGTGATGCCATCTAAACTCCTTTTAAATATGATAAATATATGGATCTCCAGGTCAGGTTTTCACAAATTATGGTTTATCTGCCTGCAGTCTGTTATTGTACAGCCTTAAGTAAGAATCTTTTTTACAGATTAAAGTAGTTTTTAAAAAATCAACATAACATTTTATTATATATGATGCTATATAAAGTTGAAGTATCAGTGTTATAAACAAAGCTTAATTGGAACATCACCTCACTTAATGTGTTTATGTACTGCCTATGCTTGCTTTCATACTATGAGAGCAGAGTTAAGTAGTAGTGACAGAGACTATATGGGACAACTTTATTGCTTTATAGAACTCCTAAGTGGACCACAAATCACAGTGATATAAGTTTAATAACTTGACAGCACTTTGAGTCCCATGAATATTGTCATGCCATGGCATTTTTTTAAATTTTATTTTTAATTAGAAAAATTATTTATTTCTGTTCCTTTCATTCTTCTCTTGGGACTTCCATAACATATACTTATT